ATTGCAACCAATGGAAAGCCACCACTACCTATAAGCTGACTTACCAGGATTTTGAGCCACCTTTCTAACCTTTCTGCAGCTCCCTCCGCACCCTTGGCGTGGAAGAAGCACATCCACACTGTCGGCATGCCTCACCGCCGCCGGAACCTGCACTTTTGTTCAATGGAGCTGACACCAAGACTCCAGACCTAACTGCAGTGGTGAGTAAGCAGTTTCTTGAAACCAGCTCTCTAGGAAACCAAGGGAGCTGAGACTAAGACTATGTTGACATATGCTAAAGATTCTATAGTCATTCCATGTACCGCCAATCCACTGGAGCAAGTTTTGTTTCCAAGCTGTCTGGTAATGAGACTTTGCCTGCCTTTGCCTGACTATTGCCTACCTCCCTGTTGACTTAATTACAGACTGTCGATGAAAAACTGATTTTAGGAACATCAAGGCTGAAGGGAACGAGTCTGGACTTTTTATGAGTAAAATTGTTTCTAAGTTTGAACATTAAGAAGAGAGATAAAAATTGCAAAGTAATTTTAGCTCAAAGTCGAAAGTTAAGAAGTGACCTTTACTACACCTTTAAGCAGGAGTTTAGTAGAATGATGGGAAACAAACTTACAAACATTGTATTGTGACTTCTATCATTCAACTGTATTCCAGCTATTAGACTTCAAATATATGGAAGGTTTACATTTTTTACATCTTTACAGTGGCAGATAAATGCATAGACAGTAACTATAAATATGGGACAAAGTGGTGTGCTTACTGTGAGACAGAAGAAGGCAGGAGCTCTCCAAGTAAAATAATAGGAATGTAAAGTGGAAGGAGTTAAACCCTTTCTCATATAATGACTATCAGACTGAAGAAAACTGAACAGGGGAGAATTAGTTAGGATGGGACTGTAGCTGAAAAGGGTGGAATCAGTTAAGGAGTTGGACTGGTGTCTGAACACAGGTTCTTGAAAGCCTGAAAGTTCAAACGAGACAATGAACTGATAATGGCATTCCTGTGAACTGTCAGAAAGGCATCTCATGAAATCCATATGACAAGCAAGACAGAGTGGTCTTCAATAATGATGCTGGCAGCAGCTTCACTGTCAGATAGCACAGAGATGTGTTTATGCTGTCAATTCTGACCAGTTGTCCTGATAATACCCCCCCCCCCCCCCCAAAAAAAAAAAAAAAAAAAAAAAAAACTTATAGGGTGCTACATCTGTGAAGAACTGGGGAGAGTCAGAAGAAACAGCGTCATCATAAAATAAATAAATAAATAAACACCATTCCAACTATCGAGTAGGGTGGATGAAAACCATAAACGTGAGCAACAAGCATGAACTCCACAACTACTGAGAGTCACTGCTCACCTAATGCGGAGTTTTTAATGGTCAAATGCAGACCTTATTATCTCCCCAGAGAATTCACTTCGATCATACTCACTGCCGTGTATATACCCCCCGACGCTAATGCTAGGTTGGCCATGAAAGAACTTTCTGCAGCCATTAACAAACACCAGAATAAACACCCCGAGGCTGCTTTTATTGTTGCTGGCGACTTCAACCACACCAACTTAAAGACAGTCCTCCCCAGATTCCACCAACATGTCTCCTGCCACACCAGAGGAGACAAGACTTTAGACCATGTGTATTCCAACCTGGCTGGAGCCTACAAAGCCACACCCCTCCCCCACATTGGACAATCGGACCATCTCTCCCTGTTCCTCACACCTCGGTATTCACCACTCATCCAACGTGTGAAACCTGCTGTGAGGACAATTAAAGTGTGGCCAGAGGGGACAGACGCAGTGCTCCAGGACAGATTTAAAAACACAGACTGGAATATGTTCACCCACACAGACCTGGACCAGTACGCCTCATCTGTACTGGATTACATCTCCAAAACCACAGACAGTGTCACCACCCAGAAACGGATCACCATGTACCCCAACCAGAAGCCTTGGATGAACCGGGATGTTCGTCTCCTCCTGAAGGCCCGCAACACTGCCTTTAGGTCAGGAGATGCACACGCCTACAGTACAGCCAGGGCTAATCTAAAGAAGGGCATCAAGCCAAACACCATTACAAAAAGAAGGTAGAAGAACACTTCTCCAACTCCAACCCCCGACGCATGTGGCAAGGACTCCAGACCATCACAGACTACAGGACCACCAAACCCTCCCCCGCATCCTCTGATGTCTCCTTCCTCAACGAGCTCAACAACTTTTATGCTCGTTTTGAGCGAGGGAACCCCACAACCACAACCAAAGCAGACATGACGCCAGACCACCAACCTATGACTCTCTCCCCCACCGATGTAGGAGCGGTGCTGAGCAGGATCAATGTCCACAAGGCTGCAGGCCCTGATGGCATCCCCGGGCGTGTTCTCAGCGTGTGTTCTGGGGAGCTTGCAGGAGTGCTCACAGACATATTCAATCTGTCCTTGGCCCACGCTGTGGTACCGGCCTGCTTCAAATCCACCTCCATCGTCCCGATACCCAAAAACTCCAACCCATCTTGCCTCAATGATTACCGCCCAGTAGCACTCACCCCCATCATCACTAAGTGCTTAGAGCGACTGGTCCTAGCACACTTCAAATCCTGTCTCCCCCCCACCCTGGACCCCCACCAATTCGCATACCGCCGGACCAGGAGCACAGAGGATGCAGTCTCCATCGCAATGCACTCTGTCCTCTCACACCTGGACAACAACAACACCTACGCCAGAATGCTGTTTATAGACTTCAGTTCAGCATTCAATACAATCCACCCCTCACTGACAGACCTGGGTATCAGTTCCCTCATCTGCAAATGGTTACTGGACTTCCTGACCAACCGCCCCCAACATGTCCAGCTGGATAACCGCTGCTCATCTACCATCACAATGAACACCGGTGTACCACAAGGCTGTGTGATGAGCCCTTTCCTCTACTCCCTCTTCACCCACGACTGCAGACCTGCTGATGGTTCCAACACCATCATTAAGTTTGCAGATGACACCACGGTGATTGGCCTCATCAGTGACAACGATGAGGCCGCCTACAGGGAGGAGGTGGATCGTCTGGCTGAGTGGTGCGACAGAAACAACCTGCTGCTTAACACCGAGAAGACCAAGGAGCTCATCGTGGACTACAGGAGGAATGCTGACCCACATCCACCCATCCACATTAAGGGGACGGCTGTGGAGCGTGTGAGCAGCTTCAAGTTCCTGGGAGTCCACATCTCCGAGGATCTCACCTGGATGACCAACTGCTCCAAGCTGGTCAAGAAGGCTCACCAGCGCCTCTTCTTCTTGAGGACTCTGAGGAAGAACCACCTGTCCTCAGACATCCTGGTGAACTTCTATCGCTGCACCATCGAGAGCATCCTGACCAACTGTATAACAGTCTGGTATGGGAACTGCTCTGCCTCGGACCGGAAGGCGTTGCAGAGGGTCGTGAAAACTGCCCAGCGCATCGCCGGAGCACCACTTCCTGCCATAAAAGACATCTACAGGAAGCGGTGTCTGAAAAGGGCTGGGAAAATCATCAAAGACCCCAGTCACCCATCACATGGACTCTTCACCCTCCTGCCCTCTGGGAGGCGCCACAGGAGCCTCCGGACTAAGACCACCAGGTACCGGAACAGCTTCTTCCCCACAGCTGTCAGACTCCTGAACTCTGCCTCCTGACATCTGACCCACGTTAAACTCATGGACTGAACATACACACACCCACAATGGACAACTGTACCCTCAAACACAATAATAACATGGACTGAACCACCACTCACAACCACTAGCACTTTATATAGCCTCTGTAGAAACTATCTACACCCTCACTTATCTTAACTGCACTACTGTATAGCTCTGTGTAAATAATCATTCTGTACATTCGATAATCTTTAATCCTACAACTGTTTACAACTTGCATAGTTCCCATTTCTGTATAGCTGTATATCCCAGATTCTGTAAAGTTATTTATTTCATATTCTGTATAGTTTTTCATATTTATATCCTGTTCATATCCTGTACATAGCTTGTACTCACTACAGCCTGTACATACTTATAGTTATAGAATATTCACAACATACTTCATACCGTGTACATTATAACATACCATAATGGACCCATTTCTGTAATATACTCACATATCTATATTATTGCTAATATATATTGTAATATATCTATATCACTAAAGCACTTCTGGATGGATGCAAACTGCATTTCGTTGCCCTGTACCTGTGCATGTGCAATGACAATAAAGTTGAATTCTATTCTATTCTATTCTAACAACACTCATCTACTGAGACTGAACATAGCAGCTTTGGTACTGAGGAAGCTAGGTCAAATTAGTGAGACTTGAAGGCATTACCTTGGGCAGAGGTTCCCAAAGTGGGGGGCCATTGCAGGGGGGCACGGTATGAATTAAAAAAAAAAAAAAGAACGCTTGGACACTGCTAGCATAATGGACAGGTTTTTGACGGGGCTCCCACACAAACGCAAAGCAGGAGATGAAGCATCGCTGAATATATTTCAAAACCAACTTCCTTACAAGCCAAGACTAGAAAATATGAAGAAGCATATCTTGCCTTTGGCTTCACCTACACAAGTGCCGAGGTAGGTCTCTCCTGCAGAATTGTTTTCCCCTGCGTCAGGAGCAGCGCTGGGCTCTCCAAATCACGGGCAAACAGTATCCCACATTCTTGATTTTTAGTTCACAAACACTTCTTACAATGACTAACTACCCCTGACAGTTTGGAGATGTTAGCTCTTTATACAGTAAAATTACAGTGGGATACAAATAATATATCAATCATAAAATTTGACCCCCCCCCCCTCCCCAACAGATATTGGTTTGTTGTTTCAAGAAAACATTGTGCGATAAGGGTAGTCAAACACCAAGTTATTCTATAAGAGTTTTATTAGTCCAACAAGGATAAACAAATAACAAATAAACAATGTAAACATTTCACAGAACAATAAAACTCCAAAATACATCCAATATTTCATCAGGGATCTCTGTGGGATCTGTCTTGTTCATTCCGTGTGGAACCTCAGGAAGTAGTTGTGGTCGGGGGTGAAGCAGAGGTGCACATTGCATTTGCGGCACATTGCTTTTGGTGTACCATTGCACCCTGGCACCCTGCATCGTCCCTTGTCCCCAGTCATGATCAGCCAGTGGGCTGTTTGATCCAGGTGGACATCTTTGACTGGAATGGGAGCTGTCCGTCCTTTCTTCCTCTTCTCCTCATATGTGCCAGCAATGGACTGGCTGGGACGACCTCTCTTCTTCTCCAGGTTTTTTTCCACGCATGCAGAGGCCCTCTGCAATGTAAGATTTGAAGGTATAGAGCCTATTTTGGTCTATCTTCTCCATACCAGTGCCTTCACAGTCTCTTCTGTAGAGCAGCCAGGTGGTTACAGTGATCATGTCCAGGAAGTGGAACACCAGCCGGTGGTACCATTTCTTGGATCTAACTTTGTTGCGGTATAGTGCAATCAGTGAGTCAAGCAGGTCCACCCCACCCATGTTCTTGTTATATTCTTGCACCACAGCAGGGCACTGGACAGTGATGTGTTTCTTCTGTTTGCGATCCCACCTGTAATGATAATAATAGATTATGTATTTATTTATTTATTTATTTATTTATTGCTTAACATTTTAAAACATAGTAACAGATAATCTATTTAGCAGAAGAAGATGATATTATAAGATAATATAAATTGATATCGCCTTTCAACTTCGGTCACAGGGTTGGCTCCAATGTGGTCACTCAGAAGGGTCACAGAGCGGTTGTCATACCACTTGACAACATGCAAGGTGGTTTCTCTCACCATGGCTATCTTCTCTTCGAATGCCCCACGTCCTGCTCTCTTCAGATCAGCATCGCTCTTCAGGTTGACCCCAGGTAATCTGTTACCACGAACAGTGCCAGTGCACCCAATTCCCTGCTCATTCAATGTGACAACAAGAGGGACACTAATGAACCAATTGTAATGAACCAATTGTCAAAGAAGAACTTGTAGTTCTCTTCCTTGGGGATTGGCTGGGCCAGTCGAAGGATGACATTTCCACTAGCTCCAACATCTGGCAGCTCATGAGGTTGGTTGACTCTCCCAATGTAGACCTCAAGGTTGTATGGTATGCCATCAGATCCTGTCAAGATGAGAATTTTATAGCCCCACTTCTTAGGTTTTGATGGTAGGTACTGTTTCAATCTGTTTCTCCGCTTGAATGGCACCATCTGCTCATCTATGGTGAGCTTCTCACTCATTGGGATGGAGACAATTTGGTTGTTAGGTGAGTGACTAGAGGATGTATTTTGTAGAGGGGATCATCTTGTTCCTGTCCCTCATTGTTGTTGATGTGGAGGAACTTCTTGATGGCTTCCCATCTGCTGAGGGTCATTGTGTCTGCTACTTTGGACACTCGGGTGGCTTTGTTCCAAAACATTGAAGTTGCTGGCAGGCCAAAGAGGGACATGTAGACCACAGTGCCGAGGAACTGCTCTAACTCGTTGGTGGTAAGGTTTAGGGGCTTGTTGGGGTCCCACTGAATTGCATACAAATTGGATTCCTCTACAATAACTTCAAGAATGTCTTCAGAGAAGAACTTTCTGAACTTTCAGCTTTTGGCAGCTGGCCCTGCCAGTCTGGGTAAGCATCGATGGATGTGTGTGCTTTTCTCCATCTTGGGAGGTGAGACACTTCACCGTCCTCTTCATCTGAATCCCCCTCTTCCTCAGAGTCACTTGTGGCTTGTGTTCTTCTGAAAAGAAGAAAGAAGAAAGAAGAAAAACGTATTAGAAAGAAATAAATGCAACAGGAAGGTGCACATGCATGCACGCGCACGCGCACACACACACACACACACACACACACACACACACACACACACACACACACACACACACACACACACAATTACTTTACCAACTGACCCCTGAGCTCCTAAGTGTCCCTCAAACCTGATTCAGGGATCCACTCCTCCACTTCCCTGTCACTCCCTGAAAGCTCACTGTCCTCACTTTCTGAGGGAATGTCCCTAACTGCACATTCCCTTGGTTTCCTTGCATAAAAGGTTTTTACGTCTATGTGCTGTAATTATCAGTAGATTTTGAAGTAAAAAAAACATTGATTATGATTATATAAATGCACACAAACACATCTCTACACACATATACTAATGCATTACATTCGCTGAAAAAAAATACGCTAACTGCACAGTATTACCTTGAGGCAACGAATGAAAATGAACAGTTTTACTGTATAAATAAATTTTATAAAGTAGAACGAACAATCAAATACACTTCTTAACATGTTCATGCACATGCAAGTATTTTTCATATACATTTATTTCGCTATAAACATGTAAAATAGTGATCTTTATCTTACCTCCTAATGGAGATACCTCTCATGTAGTGCAACTTGCAGAAAGGGGTCCGTCCACCCAAATGAAAGTCACACCACCTTCAACTCATCATTTTATTGGACAGAGATGTGCCTGGTAGCATTATTTGAAAAAAAAAAAAGAAGTTTTTTTTTTTTGAAGGGCCAGTATGAGGCATCAAAATGTGGTTTGTTGCCTCAGAGCAACGCTATGCAGTAGAGGGATAATTATAATCAATATAATTGAATATTATTACAAAGGAAAAAAAACAACTACACATAAAATAATTACACCGTGACGCCTCTGCCTTTCTAAATGGAGCAACAGTAACTGTGTGTGTATACGTAAACGTGTAAAAACTGCAGATAGTCAGATTAACAGTAACAGTATTTTGTCTCCAGCCACGATTGTAGAAATTCATCTCATGTAAACAATAACGTGGCGCACAGCGTGACAGGAAAAAAGGCACATACCTTTGACGTTGCGTGATGAATTCTGTATTCCTTGTCCACACGTAAATGCAAAAACTGAGTTTTTGAAAATCTAGTAGTGTATTTTGGCATGGCAAAATTCCAGTGGTGGAGCATAGAAAGCAGCTGGCATTTACATATAGAAGCAAGAGAAAGAACCAAATCTGTGATTTTCTGGTTGAAGTGTTAATTGCAGCTACTGAGAGTTATGGTAAAAACTCCAGGCTAGTTTTATTTCAATAGTTTTTTTCATCAGAAAGGGGAATTCCCAAGTGACAAAAAGAGGATTTCAATTTGGAAAGGGACACACCAGCATTAATGAGTGAAGAAAATTATCCAACAGATGGAATGCACGGAGCTTAACATAGCCACCAGAACGCTTTGGAGATTAAGTTGAAAATGGCTGGACTGCTTTTACACCCAAGTGTTAGACTAACTGCAAAGAATTTTTTAAAATCCCACTTGATGCAGGAAAGAAGCCACTGTGACAGATGAATGGGTATAATCTTTAATGTATCAGTGATGACAGCTTTCGAGAGATAAGCTCCAGGACCAGTAAACTTGATCAGTCTAAACATAGTAGAGTGAAAAAGGCTAGATAGGAATCATGCTGTTGATTCTGGAGACTGGACCTGAATGCGGGCAGATAAGTCAACTATTCATCTTTTTGTATCCAAGTATTTGTAATGCCAATTAGGCTCATGCAGAATAAATGGAAAAGAGAAGTTGTGAAAGTACCTATGAGATAACCTTTTTCACACTCTTTTCTCAGGAGCTAAGACACCAAATCTGGCTCTTTAATTGCCAACTGAGGGCTTTTACGCACATATGACCCGTTTAAATGGGAAAGAACACCAACATGAAAGCCTGTTGATTAAATATTAAATGATCCACAAACACACGAGCGGCGTGATGAGCCAGTTCATTGGTAAAATCACGCACTTTGACAGGGGTGGAAGGATGATTTTTTAAAAACGTTTCTGGAAGTTGGTTCCTCTTCTAAACACAAGGCATGGAATGCAAGAACAAAATGAATTTGGATCCGCCTCTCTGCAGATGCTGCATATGTGGAGGAAGAAACAGTTGGGGTAAGTGCAAACACTTTCATGAAAATTTTAGCAAATTGGGGTCCCAGTTTAGTTCAGTGGGTGAAGTCATCCATGTGCCATGTGGCTGAAAAGTAGCGTTCCATGTTGCTAGCAAAATCAAACACACTCAAACAAGAGAGCATCAGCAAGAGAAATGAAACCAAATGAAAGCAACGTAACACTGTTGCATGCATTGTTATATAGAACATATACAGGTTAAACCCAAAGTCACCTCGCTAAATGCAAGAACCTACTTCACAATACACAGTATAGACTTTCATAAACAGTAAGCAAGGCTTTTTGCCTCAGTTGCAGAAAGTGAAACCTAGATTTGAAACAGGTCATAATTAGGATTCCTCCTGATCGGGATAATTTATTCATATTTTGGTGCAAACTCTCATCTTACATGGCTGCCCTGTTGAAGTCAATATTTTACATTGTTAATACAAACTTGGCACTTTCTGTAACCACTTAAAATCAAAGTAAATGCCACTAGGGCAGACAAGAGCATAGGTATACAGAATGTTCAGGATGAATAGATCTGTTGATCAGTTATAGGTACAATAACCAAAGGCTACTAAACGAGTTGGAAACTTGTCCTTGCATTTAATCTTACTGTATTACTGTCAAAATTTCAACTTGAATTTAGCCAAAGTTTAGCAAGTTCAAAATATGATCACATAAACACCTTCCCTCTTGTGAAAGGTTTGTACAATGTAGATTTCCTTATAACTTACATTATGACATGTTCTTGCTCTTTAGCATGTTCTACTGGTCACAAGCTTTTATTTTGGTGGGGATTTTTATGTTCCTGTTGGTGGTTGAAACAGGAAGCTAGGTGTCTGTTGGGCTGCACGACATGTTGTTCATCTGATCAGATCAAATTCAAATTCAAATTTTCTAATTCAAATTTTATTTGTCATGTACACAGTCATACACAGTACGATATGTAGTGAAATGCTTGGACAACTGCTCGTGACCTAAAGAAAACAAAAAAGGAAAAGGCTATGAATAAGATAGGAAATAAATATGAAAAATTAAAAAGGGTAAATTTAACTAGGAAGGAATAAAATATAAATTAAGGTTAAAAATGAAATAACTGTACAACACAAATTAGAATGAAGGGTAAATTTAACTGGGAGAATAAGATAAAATATATAAATTAAAGTTGAAAATAAAATAACTGTACAACAAAATACACAATACACAATATAGAACTATATAAGAATGTATGAAGAAATCTAAATAAATATATGCACAATAACAGCAGCATATACACAATAACAGCAGCGTGATTTAAGTAATGAAGTGAAACAATGTCCAGAATGTCCAGTGTGTGTAAGAACTGTATGTGTGGGTCAGTACTGTGTGGTGGTGTGATTGAGAGACCGTATCGCCTGCGGGAAGAAGCTCCTCCTCAGTCTCTCTGTGTTGGTCTTCAGGGAGCGGAATCGCTTTCCTGACCTCAACAGAGAGAACAGTCTGTTGTTGGGATGGCTGAGGTCCTTCACCATCTTCCTGGCCTTGGTCCAGCACCGCCTGCTGTAGATTGAGTGCAGGTCAGGGAGCTCGGAGCGGATGGTGCGCTCAGCTGACCGCACAACCCTCTGTAGAGCTCGTCTGTCCTGCATGGTGCTGTTCCCGAACCAGGTTAAGATGTTTCCCGTCAGGATGCTCTCTATGGTGCAGGAGTAAAAGTTCCTGAGCACCTTGGAGGGCAGTTGGAAGTCTCTCAAGCGTCTGAGGTGGTAGAGACGCTGACGGGCCTTTTTCACCACGGTGTTGATGTGACAGGACCATGACAGGTCCTGCGTGATGTGAACTCCGAGGTATTTGAAGCTGTCCACTCTCTCCACAGATGCCTTCTAAAACGTTTCTGCCTTGGAGAGCTATTGCTTTGAGTAATAATGATACAATAAGTTTTACAAGTTGATTTAGTGCATTTTATCACAGAGATTACCCTCGAAACAAATTTATTCAGTCTGCTACGTTTATCTTTGAGCCAGCTAAGTTGTACTTGCTAACATAGATGAATCTCAAGTTATCTTGCATAATGAAATGCAGTCTATAGTCAGGCAATTCATCTAAATTCCTTGTGCTAACTGGTAATTCTACTGTGTACTTTTACATTTTACTATCAGAGTTGAATAATTTAATTTTTAACCTAACCAAATAGAAAAAAATCGAATACTAATTGGCTTGCTTACCTACAGTGTGCCAACTGTATAATGTCAAATACGAAATTTACAACAACCCTTCCAAGGATTTGTGCTTCCTCATGGTCTCAAACTTTCCTATAAGGTAAATGTATAAACTGCTAAACTATGGAGCAACCTTTAGCATCAGTAAATTGTGTAACAGACATTTGCCTTCTACAGTAACCACCAACAAGGGAAGTGGTTTGGCAGCTAGCTATGCAACACTGTTTGCCTTATCTCAAGCAAATCAACTTTGTTTTCATAATCCGACATTATTCAACTTATCATCAAAAGGCCACAAAAAAGCTGTATGCATAATAATACAGGACAGTTGTGTATATGTGGTCATTTTGGCCAACACAAACTAATACATAGTGTACAAGCACAAGCTGTGTATGTCTGAATAACTGTTTTCTGATGTTTTGCAGAGAACCTTTAAAATGCATGCCTTTAAACATGACTCTATTGGAACCTCATCCAAATTTTTATCAGCTCTACTGAACTTAATCAACTAAAACAGTGGAAAATCAGTGTTCTCAGTAATCCAGACTAAAAAACACCAGCAGTGGGTTAATTTAGCTATCCTTAAATTTATTTAAGATGTATTTTAAGCTACAAGCCAA